CACAGGGGGATCTGGGGGTCCCTGGGGGTTCCCCTGGGGGATTTTGGGGGGATTTGGGGGGAATTTGGGGGATCCTGGGGGGAGTTTGGGGTTGTTTGGGGATTTTGGGGGGATTTTGGCATTTTTTGGGGCAGATTTTGGGAGGTTTTTGGGAGGTTTTTAGGGCAGTTTTTGGGGCGGATTTTGGCAGATTTTGGCAGTTTTTGGGGGGATTTTGGTGGTTTTTGGGAGGTTTTTGGACAGTTTTTGGAGCGGGTTTTGGGAGGTTTTTGGGGGGATTTTGGCGGTTTTTGGGAGGTTTTGGGCAGATTTTTGGGCGGATTTTGGCAGTTTTCGGGTTCTCTCTCCCCAGGTACCTGTACCGCCTCTGCCCCTTCCAGCGCGTCACCCAGAGACCCAAAAACGGCGGCGCCGAGACCAGCCTGGGGTAAAGCCCCAAAATCACCCAAAAATCACCCAAAACACCCCAAAAATCACAAAAGATGCCCTCAAAAACACCCAAACCCCCCAAAACCCCCCAAAATCACCCAAACCCCCCCAAAAATCACCCAAAACACCCCAAAAACTGCCCTGGGGACCCCAAAACACCCCAAAAATAAGCCAAAACACCCCAAAATTACCCTGGGAACCCCAAAAAATCACCCTGGGGAGCCCAAAAATCAAACTGGGGACCCAAAAATCTCCATGGAGACCCCAAAAACTCCCCCGGGGACCTTGGGGGACAGCCCCAGTGTCACCTGTCCCCTCACCTGTCCCCTCAGGTGTCCCCTCAGGTGTCCCCCAGTGTCCCCCCCAGTGTCACCTGTCCCCCCCAGTGTCCCCTGTCCCCTCAGGTGTCCCCTCAGGTGTCCCTCAGTGTCACCTGTCCCCTCAGGTGTCCCCTCAGGTGTCCCCTCAGGTGTCCCCCCAGTGTCCCCTGTCCCCTCAGGTGTCCCCCAGTGTCNTCAGGTGTCCCCTCAGGTGTCCCCTCAGGTGTCCCCCCAGTGTCCCCTGTCCCCTCAGGTGTCCCCCAGTGTCACCTGTCCCCTCAGGTGTCCCCCAGTGTCCCCTGTCCCCTCAGGTGTCCCCTCAGGTGTCCCCTCAGGTGTCCCCTCAGGTGTCCCCTCAGGTGTCCCCTGTCCCCTCAGGTGTCCCCTCAGGTGTCTCCTCAGGTGTCCCCTCAGGTGTCCCCTCAGGTGTCCCCTCAGGTGTCCCCCAGTGTCCCCTGTCCCCTCAGGTGTCCCCTGTCCCCTCAGGTGTCCCCCAGTGTCCCCTGTCCCCTCAGGTGTCCCCCAGTGTCACCTGTCCCCTCAGGTGTCCCCTGTCCCCTCAGGTGTCCCCCAGTGTCACCTGTCCCCTCAGGTGTCCCCTCAGGTGTCCCCCAGTGTCCCCTGTCCCCTCAGGTGTCCCCTCAGGTGTCCCCCAGTGTCCCCTGTCCCCTCAGGTGTCCCCTCAGGTGTCCCCCAGTGTCACCTGTCCCCCCGCAGGCTCTGGGGCTCCTGGGCGGGGCCCGAAGGTGACAAATTCGGGGCTCAGAAATACGAGGGCGGCACCGGCTGCTGGCAGGGCCCCGCGCGGGCCACCACGGTGAGTGCACCTGAGTGTCACCTGAGTGTCACCTGAGTGTCACCTGTGTCACCTGAGTGTCACCTGTGTGTCACCTGTGTCACCTGTGTCCCCAAAATCCACCCCAAACCCGCCCGAGCCACCACGGTGAGTGCACCTGTGGCACCTGAGTGTCACCTGAATGTCACCTGAGTGTCACCTGTGTGTCACCTGTGTCACCTGTGTCCCCAAAATCCACCCCAAAACCCACCCGGGCCACCACGGTGAGTGCACCTGTGGCACCTGTGGCACCTGTGTGACATCACCTGTGTCACCTGTGTCACCTGAGTGTCATCATCTGTGTCCCCAAACCCGCCCGGGCCACCACGGTGAGTGCACCTGCGGCACCTGTGTGTCACCTGAGTGTCACCTGTGTGACATCACCTGTGTGTCACCTGAGCCCCTGCAATGTCCCCAGACCCCCCCATCCCTGTCCCTGTGTCCAGGTGTGCCCCAGGTGTGTCTGACCTGTCCCAGGTGTGAGTTACCTGTCCCAGGTGTATCTCAGGTGTGTCACAGGTGTGTCACAGGTGTGTCTGACCAGTCCCAGGTGTGTCTGACCAGTCCCAGGTATGTCCCACCTGCCTCAGGTGTGTCCCAGGTGTGTCCCAGGTGTGTCCCAGGCATGTCTCACCTGTCCCAGGTGTGTCCCAGGTGTGTCCCACCTGTCCCAGGCGTGTCCCAGGTGTGTCCCACCTGTCCCAGGCGTGTCCCAGGCGTGTCCCAGGTGTGTCCCACCTGTCCCAGGCGTGTCCCAGGTGTGTCCCAGGTGTGTCCCACCTGTCCCAGGTGTGTCCCAGGTGTGTCCCAGGTGTGTCCCACCTGTCCCAGGTGTGTCTCAGGTGTCCCAGGTGTGTCTCAGGTGTGTCCCACCTGTCCCAGGTGTGTCTCAGGTGTCCCAGGTGTGTCTCAGGTGTGTCCCACCTGTCCCAGGTGTGTCCCAGGTGTGTCTCAGGTGTGTCCCACCTGTCCCAGGCGTGTCTCAGGTGTGTCCCAGGCGTGTCTCAGGTGTGTCCCAGGTGTGTCCCACCTGTCCCAGGTGTGTCACCGTGTCCCAGGTGTGTCCCAGGTGTGTCCCAGGCGTGTCTCACCTGTCCCAGGTGTGTCCCAGGTGTGTCACCGTGTCCGTGTGTCCCAGGTGTCCCTGAGGTGCGGGGCGCTGACGGCGCTGCGGGCGGCGCTGGAGCCGAGTCGCTGCGAGTACCTGCTGGAGCTGGAGACGCCCGCGGCCTGCCGGGAGCCGCCGGGGCACGAGGAGCACGACGAGCTGTGACCCGAAACCGCCCGAATTCACCCCAAAATATCCCCAAAATATCCTGAAAATATCCCCAAAATATCCTGAAATTATCCCCAAAATATCCTGAAATTATCCTGAAATTATCCCCAAAATATCCTGAAATTATCCCCAAAATATCCTGAAATTATCCCAAAAACAGCCCTCAAAATATCCCCAAAAACGCTGCCGGGAGCCGCCGGGGCACGAGGAGCACGACGAG